GTGCCTGGACTCCCACGTGGCTGACTGTGGCTCAAGTCTCAGACTATATAGCTTGCTTTCTCACTTTCCTTCTCTCTCTCTCTGTCTTTCTTTGGTCAACTTCAAATAATAATAATTATCATTATTATTAGTAAAATTAAATAATTCTTTTTTTTTTGAGAGGTTTTCGCTATAGGGCGCATGCGCTCGCCAGACAGAGAGAGACAGAGAGACAGAAAGCGAGAAATCACCCCCCAGGGGGGATGGCCACGCCGCAATCCCTTCTCCTCCATTCTCCTCTCGGGATCTTGGGCACGCACGCACACGCGCCCGGCGTGAGTTTTAAGCCACCGGGTCCGGGACGCAAACCGCGGTCAACTACGTGGGAGTCCAGCGACATAGCCATTACACTAACTGCTGGTTCCCTAAAATTAAATAATTCTTAAAAAAAAAAAAAAAAATGCCAGCATTAATAACTAAAGACACATCTCTACACATTTAGGACAATACTGTCTATAAAAACAAAAAGGGACAGAAATCTTAACAGAAATAACTTTTTTAAAAAGAATTATTTTATTTAGTTTTATTTTATTTGACCAGAGAGGGACGGAGTGAGAGAGAAAGAGAAAAGGAAAGTGGGAAAGCAAGCCACCAAGTCCAGGACTCGAACCGTGATCGGCCATGTGGGAGTCCAGCACCCTTAACCACCACACCACCTGCTGGCCCCCAGAAATAACTTTTAAGGAAAATAAATATTAAAAGCAAGTGAAGTTATTTATTAATAAGGGGAGAAAAAAGCACTTCATGCCTTTACCTTTATAGGCTAAGACCCTATGAACATGTAAATTTGTGACCCCTACCATAAAGTCTCCACTGTTATGAGCCAGCAGTCAGCAAAGAGGTTAAGGCAGCTGGATCCCACTTGAACGGCCTACTGTGCAGTTCAAGTCCTGGCCCCAGTGGAATGAAAACCATATTGGGTGCATGTGCCTGCATGCCCAAAACCCAGAGGAGAATGAGAAAGGACTACAGGGTGGAAATGCCTCTTAAGGGAGTGATTTTTATTTTCTTTTTTTTGGAGAGGTTTTCACTTAGGGCACGTGCACTCGCCAGAAAGATAAGAGAGAGACAGAGAGACAAAAACGAGAAATCACAGCCCCCCCCCCGGGGGGGGATGGCCACACTGCAATCCCTTCTCCTCTTGGGATCTTGGGCACGCACGCACACGCGCCCGGTGTGAGTTTAAGTCACCGGGTCCAGGACTTGAACCAAGGTCGACTACATGGGAGTCCAGCAACAAAGCCATTATGCTAACTGCTGGTCCCAGGGAGTGATATTTTACTTTCTCTCTCTCTCTCTGCCTCTCTAGTGAGCACACATGCTCTATAACAAAAGAAAACCAAAAAATCCACAGTTAAATTTCTTTGGAGACAGAAAGATTCACAACTTGAGCTACTGAGGCAATAAGGACAACATATCTGGAAAGGGGCAATCTTTAAACCTGCCAGAGGATCAGCAATCCAAGGCATTTACCTGATAATTCAGGTATAAATGTCCTAATACACAGCTGAGATAACAGTAAAAATATATTTTTTAATTTTTCCTTTTTTTTCTTTTTGGAGAAGTTTTTGCTATAGAGTGCACATGCTCGCTAGAAAGAGAGAGAGAGAGAGAGACAGAAAGTGAGAAATCACCACCCAGGGAGAATGGCCATGCCACAATCCCTTCTCCATTCTCCTCTCAGGATCTTGGGCACGCACACACACACGCCCGGCATGAGTTTAAGCCACCGGGTCCTGGACTCAAACCGCAGTTCACTACATGGGAGTCCAATGACATAGCCATTATGCCAACTGCTGGTCCCTAAAATCTTTATTATTTGCCTAATACTTCAGAAACACCAAACAGTCATTAAGTTGGAGAAAGGAGTAATTTACTGAGTAAGACTTCAAGAAGCATGTGAAATAACTTTAATGTCTATACGAACAGGGAAACCTGTACTGAAAGGAAGGCTGAGATTTTATTAGCTGTTAGGCCCAGCAGGTGGTGTAGTGAGTGGTTAAGGTGCTCCCACGTGGCAAATCACAGTTCCAGTCATGGACCTGGAGGCTTGAAACTCACTCTGGCGCAAGTGCATGCGTGCTCAGAATCCTGAGAGGAGAATAGAGGAGAAGAAACTGCAGTGCCAAAAGGGGGGGGGTCTCGCTTTCTCTCTCTATCTCCAGCAAGTACACGCGTCCTATAGCAAAAATCTCTCCTAAAAAAAAAAATTATTAGCTATTTTAAATATTGGACCCCTTTCTGAGATGTCTCTATATTGCTATGCAAACATTAGACAGGAAGAAGGACAAGAAGAGAATTCTACACAGATTAATATTTGAGTTTCTAAACTACACTTTAAGCTCCATAAATAGAATATACAATAAGCAGCCTTCAAAGGAGGCGGCATGAGCACACTGAAATCAATCTAGAAGCTGTATTTCTAGTAAAATGTTAAAAGCTGCACCTACCACCAGCGCCGTACAGCGTGAATCCCTTGCCTCGCTGTCTCCCGAGCGTGCATCACAGAACCTAGCGGCGTGTAAAGAGGAATCTAAGCACTAACTTTCTTGGCAAGTCTCAGAAGGTCCCACAGATGCAATTTAAGATCACTTAAGTAAGGATTCCACTCCAAAGAAGGAGACAGCTCTTCCTTGAAAGCTGTTAGCTAAATAACCTAGCGAGTGACTCCTGAGAAACAAGTTCTAACCAGACGCACTGGGACACACTTCAGTTCACATGTCAACACTGAAACTTTTACAAGGAATCCTCCGAGCTGTCAAGTTAAAGTTCTCAACCAAGTCTCTGAATTCTGTTCCTTCCTTCCTTCCTTCCGGTCATATACGTCTATGTGTGTGTATATATGACACTTGCCTTAATTTTATCAGAACTGTGGTAGATTTTCTGTTATCAGGTGTTAACTGACTGCCCTTCCCCTCTACCTCCTTACTGAGATAGTTCACAGACCATAGTTTTACCTCCTCCCTCTTTACCTTCTCCCTGTCCTCTTACTACTGAGCTACAATACGTTACATATACGAATAATGCTAAGCCAAGTCTCAGCATTAGAGCCATACAGGCTGCACAGGATTTAGGGCAAATCAAAAGCTAGAGGGAAAAGAGGTATAAATTAGGTAAATTCTCACTGGTCTAACAGAGGCAGACTGACTACATACAACAGTTCAGTCTATCTAAGAGGACTTTCCTCAAAGACAAGAAATGACCCAAATGCTCTACATTTGTGTTGTGCCAAAAGGTGGAAGTGGTTCCAATAAAAGCAAAAACAACTGATCAAGAATAAAGGTAAAGGGGCCAACAGGTGGTGTGGTGGTTAAGATGCTGGCCAGACTCCCACATGGCCTACTGTGATTTGAGTCCTGGACCTGGTGGCTTTCTTTCTCACTTTCTCTCTTTCTCTCTGTCTCTCTCTCTGGTGAGCACATGTGCCCTATAGCAAACTTTTAAAAATAATAATAAATAATTTACAATTTTGAAATGTTTAAAAAAGACTTAAAGAAGAAAAATAAAAGTATGGCAATGGTTTGGATGCTCAAAACGTTTGGCTTGTCAACTTCCTGTAGACCAATAAAAAATAAAATCTGATTACTATGAGAGTGATCTGTGAAGACAGTCAAAGCTTTAGCAGAACACCCAGCAAGGTTTCAGCACAGAGTTATTATCTACCACAACAATGCTTCGCTCATTCTTCTCATCAAACAAGGACAATTCTGCAAGAGTTTTGATTGGAAATCCTAAGGTATTCACTTTATAGTCCTGATTTTGTTCCTTCTGACTTGTTTCCTAATCTTAAAGAAAAAAAAAAGACAAAAATAAACAAAAATAAACTTTATAGGGCACCAATTTTTCTTGGCTAATAAAAGTAAAAATAAATAAATAAATAAAAGACTGCATTGACGTGGTGAAATTCTCAAGATCCTCAGGTTTGTTTTTTTTAAACAACATAATGGGTTTGTATTTAATACAGTACTCTGACGATGGGACTGTAACCCAACTAATTAATTAATATAAAAGTTTTTGTTTATATTAAATCTCTTTTCCATTTCAATGTTAATATAAAGTTGTTTTTTAAATTAAATCTCTTCTCCATTTTCATATTAGATACATTGAAGACATTTTTCAAAACTTTTTTTAAAGAATTATTTAATTTTATTTATTCATTCATTCAATTTGACCAGAGAGAGAGAGACAGAGAGAGAAAGTAAGCCACTAGGTTCAGGACTCAAACCATGGTTGGCCATGTGGGAGTGTCCAGTGCCTTAGCCACCACACCACCTGCTGGCCCCCATTTTTCAAAACTTTTGTCCTCCAGAGATAAAAGTTTCAATTTTCAGCAAGTTGATACCTAAATATAATTTTTAAAGAATTTTATCTATTCATTTATTTATTTTAATTCAATCAGAGAGAGACACACAGAGAAAGAGGGAAAATGAGAAAGCAAGCCACCAGGTCTAGGATTTTAATCCTGATCTGCCATGTGGAAGTGTCCAGCACCTTAACCACCATGCCACCTGCTGGTCCCCCTAAGTACCATATTAGTCTGAAAGATAAAACAAAAATCCAATAAAAGTACGAAGAAAGACTTCTCATTGGTTCAGGAGGCAGTGATTATAACTGAACAGTTGCCAACTTTCGTGGATTCTGGACAAGAACTTTCTTATTTCACGTGCTTAAGAATAGTAAAACTATGAAATATTACCTATGTAAATTTCAGCCATCTTACTTCTTTGACCTCCCTTCTAACCAGTAAACACAAATTATAGGCTGCATTTTTAAGTGCACTATTTGTTGCAAAAAAAATTTTTTTTCCCACTAAGACATCAATTTGTTTCCATTTTATGGGAAACAGCTAAGAATGTGAAACTCTATCATTTGGAGAAACTTTCAGACATCAATGTTCAGGTTTAGCCTCAACTGCACAAAGGTCTTTCAGGGCGAAGCTTGATTCAGAGGGCCCTTCAAAGTCATACCTGTCCACTTCTCTTTCGTGCATATACACGTAAACAAGCACAAATGCCTGTGATGCGGAGGACCACACCTAACGAGAGTGCGAGGGCATCTCCAGCTTCCACTGCTTCCACAACAGGCAGCACCAAAAGCAGAGAGAGGAGCACTAAGACCAACTGTGATGAAACTGAGGTCAGGGTGTTGGGGGCTGAAGGTTCCGAAGAAATGGTATGTGTGTTTATATATGTACACGTGCATGTGTGTATGTGTGTGTATACATATATGTATACACACACACATATATATATGTGTATATATATAATTCTATCTTATTTGAAATATTCCCTTCCTGGAGCTCCAGGCGCTGAGGCTGAGAGGTTCCACATGACTTCGCCTTCCAGGAAGCAGCCATTACAGGAATGCAAGATCCTCGGTTCTTTTTTTTTTCTTTTGGTAGTGGTTTTTTTGCTATAGGGCGCGTGCGCTTGCCAGAAAGAGAGAGTCAGAGAGACGGAAAGTGAGAAATCACCCCCCGGGGGGATGGCCATGCCGCAATCCTTTCTCCTCCATTCTCCTCTCCGGATCTTGGACATGCACACACACGCACCCAGCGTCAGTTTAAGCCATGGAGTCCGGGACTCAAACCGCAGATGACTACATGTGAGTCCAGCGGCATAGCCATTACGCTAATTGCTGGTCCCAATTCTTTATGGTTGAATTAAATGACTGGTATTTGGGACCAGCTGTTGGTGCAGTGGTTATGTCACAGGACTCCCACATAGACGACACCATGGCTCAAGTCCTGGACCTGGTGGCTTGAAACTATGCTGGGTGTATGTTTGTGCGCTGCCCAAAATACCAAGAGGAGAATGGAGAGAGGACTGTGACATGGCCATCCCCCTGGGGAGAGATTTTGTGCTTTCTATCTGTCTGTCTCTCTAGAATACATGTGCCCTACTACAAAAATCTCTCTCTAAAAAAATGTTTTTAATGAAATCTTAATTAATATTGCTTGGAAAATCATTCAGGAATTTAGAAGATGTCCAATAAATATTATCTATTACTGCTACAATCTTAAAAAAATCCATGAGCAATCAAGGAAAAGTTGGGGGGGAGGGGCAGCAGGTGGCATGGTGGTTAAGGCACTGGATACTCCCACATGGCCGACTAGGGTTCGAGTCTTGGACCTAGTGGCTTACTTTCTCCCCCCCCCCCCCCGTCTTTCTCTGTTCAAATTGAAATAGATGAAAGAATAAATAAAAATTTTTTTAAATAATAAAAAAAGAGAGAGAAAATGTCTGGGCAAACAGTAATGAAGGCAACTGGATCCCATATGGCCAACTGCACCATTCAAGTCCCTGACCTGGCAGCTTGAGAAATATGTCAGGCGTATGTGCATGCATGCCCAAAAATCCCAATACAAAAATGGAGGAGAAGGGATTGCAACATAGCCATTCCCCTGGGACAGCACTCTTAACTTTTTCACTTTGTCTCTCTCTCTTTCTCTCTGGCAAGAGCCCACAACCTACAGCAAATTAAAAAAAAAAAAAAAAAAAAGTAACATTTGAATAATATAATTTAATATCTAGAAAACACATAAAACTAACTTTAAATAAATACCAGCACACAAAGAAGTAAAAATCAATTTAATTCTGTGCATGTTTTTTAAAGGTTTTTGCCATATGACATGTGTGCTTACCAGAGAGAGAAAGAGACGGTGAGAGGAAAAGCCTTCCAAGGATGAGCATGCCACAGTCCCCTCTCCTCCACTCTCCTCTTGGGATTTGGGACATATATGCACTAGTGCCTGGTGTAATTTTTTTTTTTTTTTGAGAAGTTTTTGCTATAGGGCATGTGAGCTGGAAAGAAAGAGAGAAACAAAAAGCAGGAAATTGCCCCCTGGTGGGGGGGGGTGGCCACACCATAATCCCTTCTCCATTCTCCTCTCAGAGTCTTGGGCATGCATTCCCACACACACCTGATGTGAGTTTAAGCCACCGGGTCCTGGACTCGAACCATGGTGGCTACATGGGAGGCCAGTAACATAGCCATTACGCCAACTGCTGGTCCCTACCTGGGGTAATTTTTAAGCCACCAGGTTTGAGACTTAAACTATGGTCAGCCATGCAGGAATCCAATACCTTAACCACCACGCTACCTCCTGGGCCCAATTCTGTGCATTTTAATTCTTTATGACTATACTTTTACTCTTTTTTTTAAAGATTAATTGTCTTATTATTATTTAATTGACTATAGGGCACGTATGCTCAACAGAGAGAGAAAGAGAAAGTGAGAAAGCAAGTTGCCAGGTCCAGGACTCAAACCTCACTAGGCCATGTTGGAGTCCAGTGCTTTAATCACGATACCACCTACAAACCCCTATACTTTCACTCTTTTTTTTTAATATTACTTAGTTTTTATTTATTATTATTGTTATTTGCTATATGGTATACATGCTCATGAGAGAGACAGGAGCAGAGAGAGAGAGAAGCAAGCCACCGAGTCTGGGACTTGAACTGCAGTTGGTCATGTGGGAATCCAGTGCCTAACCACCCTGTCACCTGCTAGTCTCTTTACTTTCACTCTTTTAAAGTATATATATATATATATATATATCTTTTTTTAAAATTTATTTCATTTTCATTTACTCATTCATTTATTTTAATTTAACCAGAGAACACAAGCCACCAGGTCCAGGACTTAAACCGTGGTCAGCCATGTGAGTGTGTCCAGCGCCTTAAACACCACGCCACCCGCTGGTCCCCTTTTAAAGTATATTTTGTGGGGCTGGTAGATGGCACAGTGGTTAAGGGCGCTAGACTCCCACATGGTCAACCACAGTTCGGGTCTTGGACCTGGCGGCTTGCTTTCTCACTTTTCTCTCTCTCTCTGTCTCTCTCTCTCTCAATCTACCCCTCTCTGGTCAAATTTAAAAATAAATAAATAAATGGATAAAGTTAAATAAAGTAATTCTTTTTTTTAAAAAAAAGTGTATTTTGCATGTGTAAGACTGGGACTTTTTTTTTCAGTGAAGAAATATTCTGCCTCCTAAGGCTTATCATTTCAAAGAACTGACAGTACAAGGAAAAAAAATTAGGGTAATGAAGGTCAGTGCTAAACAACTGCTAAACTATGAAGCTGAGACTGTAACAGCTAAAGCAGATATTCAGAGACTCAGGGAGCACTAAGACTCCGGGAAGACTCCTTGCAGGGAGGGAGATGTGAGCACAGCTAAGGAGCAGGGAGAGCATGGGCATCAGCTAGGATTTGCTCCTATCTGTGTCACCCAGGTCACTGAGCCACCTGCCACCCTCTCACCCTCCACATCCTCACTTCCAAGGGTCTGCAGTCACAGGGAGGAAACACGGTCTTGACAGTCAGGGAAAGATTTTTTTACAGTCAGGGAAAGATGACCTAACAGAAGAGACCAGGAACTCCTGACCTTAACATCCCCAATCCCGCTGCACACGTTTCCATACACAACTCCGTTTCCAAATACACCTCTGGGTGAGTACCAAAAACATAGGCGATCATGAACCGTATGTAAGACTGATTTCTGGACACCTAGAACAGACTACTACTCACACGTCATGTCTGCCCAACTTTTTAACAACTTTTGGCCTTCCGTTTTCTTAATTCTCATGTTTAACCTCCCCAGGTATTGATAGCTGAAAACAGATCTCATCAGCTTCCCTCATAATCTTGAGGTCCCTACTGCTACTGAAAGCATTTTGATTCTTACAGAAGCATATTTGATGTATTCGTCTGGATCTTCAGTTCTGATGAGTCAAGGTCTACAGAACTCTGAAATATCTCCTGGAATTGATCTTCCATCCAGGGCTACAAAACTCACCCAGATCCACCAGCTCTCTCATCCTCTTACAATACATCCCACTGAACAAGAAGCCTTGTTATACTTCCTAATGACCCACTGAAATCATATCCCAGTGTCCCCTTAATCTTCTGATTGATCCCCAATACTCACAAATGAAACGGATTTGAAATTAATTTGAGAGACAGGCTTCAGACCACTTCCCAGTAATTCTCTGTCTGGAAGAAAGGGCTACACCAGTAGCTTAACAGTAGAGATCTGGGGGCCAGAAGGTGGCAAGGTGGTTAAAGGTGCTGGACTCCCACATGGCTCACTGTGTTTTTGGTCCTGGACCTGGTAGCTTCCTTTCCTCACTTCCCCACCCCCCCCTTTAGTCAAACTGGAAAAATAATGATAAAGTAAAAATAAAATAATTCTTGTGGACCAGTAGATGGCATGGTGGTTAAGGGTCTGGACACTTCCATATGTCTAACCACAGTTCAAGTCTCTGGACCAGGTGGCTTGCTTTCTCCCTTTCCCTCTCAATGCGTGTGTCTCTACAGTGAAATTAAAATAAATGAATGGATAAATAAAATTAAATAAAAGATAATTCTAAAAAAAATTCTTAAGAAAAAAAAAAAAAAGAAGAGATTGGTGGCCTACTGGTGGTGTAGTATTTAGGCAGGTGGATCCCAGAGGCCAACGGTGTAATTTGAATTTCAGACCTGGCAGCTTGAGAAACACACTAGGGGTGGGTGGGTGTGCGTGTATGCATGCATACCCAAATCTCATGAGACAGACAGGAGAAGAAAGGAATGCTGATGCACAGCCATTCCCCCTCCCCCGGGGGTGATTTCTCACTTTCTCTCTCTCTGGCAAGTGTACACTCTAGCAAAAATTTTTTTTTTTTTGAGAGATTTTCACTGTAGGGCGCGTGCGCTCACCAGACAGACAGAGAGAGACATAGAGACAGACAGCGAGAAATCACCCCCCAGGGGGGATGGTCACGCCGCAATCCCTTCTCCTCCATTCTCCTCTCGGGATCTTGGGCACGCACGCACACGCGCCCGGTGTGAGTTTTAAGCCACCGGGTCCGGGACACGAACCGCGGTCAACTACGTGGGAGTCCAGCGACATAGCCATTACGCTAACTGCTGGTTCCCGCTAGCAAAATTTTAAGAAAGATCTGGTTTAGTTTGGTTTGATGCTAGTGCATAGTGCTGATGGGAATATAGCATATCCCTTAGGTGTTCCAGGAGTGAAAAATGCCTGAGGGTCACCCAGTATAGCTCAGTCTTCATTGTACAGATGGAGGAGGAAAGTGTAGTAATTACAGCCTGGTTCTCTAGGTATTGCCCAATATAGCACAAAAGGAGCTTTACAGTTTATTTCCCATTCACATTCTTAGGTTCTTCCTAAAGCTGGTTTACCGCTAACACTCTACTACCAGGCCTGAGTTCATGCTGCTCCCTCCTCCCCTCCATCCTCACTGTTGACAGGATGGACCATCAAAGAAGTATCTGCCCACACACATCTGCAAATAGGGTGTGCTATGGCCTTCCTTTATATCCCTACTGCACTTTGTTTTTTATATTTTTTTATTATTTCATTTATTTTTTTATTATTTTATTTAACTTCATTTATTTATTTTAATTTGACGACAGGGTGAGAGAGGGGGAAAGTGAAAAAGCAAGCCACCAGGTCTGAGACTCGAACCACAGTCAGCCATGTGGGAGTCCAGCACCTTTAACCACCATGCCACCTGCCAGCCTCCATTATTATTAAGTTTAGTATAGGGCACGTGTGCTCACCAAAGAGAGACAGAGCAAGATAAAGAGGAAGATTGAGAATGTATAAGCCACCAGGTTCAGACTCAAACCGTGGTCAGCCATGTGGGAGTCCAATGCTTCAACCACCATGCCACCTGCTGGTCCCTAAATCCCTACTGCCCTATGTACTCACTTGTAACAATCAGAAATTACACATACACTGAAGAGACATCTGGTTGACACAGGTGGGAATCAAATATTGCCGACCAGTAACAAATTCTGTTCTGGATAAATCTGTAATTCGCTGGTGGCATCTCTGCTATCAACTCCACTGTCATAATATTAAGAGGATATAAACCACTACTCTCCCAGGAAATCACCAAGGTTTTGTTTTCTGAAATCATCAGAGATTTTCTTTTTGCTGTAAGGCAAATGTCCTTGCCGGAGAGACAGAAAGTTGGGCAGGGAAGGGGGGGATGGCAATGCCACAATCCCTTCTCCTCCATTACCTTCTTGGGATTTTGGACACACACCTATACCAAGCATAAGTTTCAAGTGACCAGGTCTGGGATTCAAACCATGGTCAAACGTTTGGAAGTCTAGTGCCTTAACCACACTATGCCACCTGCTGGCCTCAAGTCATCAGAGACTCTAAATTTTAAAATGCTAGTAGAGTATTCTTAGAAGCTTCATACAAGTTAAATGGAAGAACCACCCTGTCTCAAATATGGTTTAATTCCTTTTATTTGCCAGAGGGTACATGAGGGTGCATGTACTACCCAAAAAAGAGAGACCCCTCTAATGGGGCATGGTCACCCTGCAATCCTCTCTCCTCCATTTCTCCATCCTATCAGGATCTGGCATATGTATGCACACAGACTTCGGACATTTTTCAAGTCCCTGGGGCCAGGACTCAAACCATGACTGGTCATGTGCAATCAAGTTTTCTACACACAGCACTTAAGCACTATGCAAGGTTTGGTTTTTTGTTTTTTTTTTTTACCACTATGCAAGGTTTAATTTTTACTAGCAAATGCTTAATTCCAAAGTACTATCAGAACTTTACCAAATGCCCATTATTTTTAGCAGTTTTTGCCTTAGGGTATATATGCTTGCCAGAGAGAGACAGAGATAGTAAAAGGGAAAGTGAGAAATTGCCCCCAGGGATCAGCAGATGGCATAATGGTTACATCACTGGACTCCCATGAAGTCAACCATGGTTCGAGTTCCAGACCCGGCGGCTTAAAACTCATACCTGACATGTGCGTGCGTATGTGCCCAAGATCCCAAAAGGAGAATGGAGAAGAAGAGATTTCAGTGTGGCCATCTCCTATAGGGGGTGATTTCTCACTTTCTGGCTCTCTGGCGAGTGCATGTGCCCTATAGCAAAAATCTCTCCTAAAAATAAAAAGAAATCACTCCCAAAGGGGGATGGCCACCCCACAATCCCTCTCCTCCCGGGATCTTGAGCACACACGCACACACATCTGGTATGATTTTCAAGTCCCCAGGTCTGGGAAACGAATCATGGTTGGCCATGTGCAAGTCCAGCCAGCCAAATGCTGGCTCCTCAAATGCATATTTTTTTAAAGTGTTTTAAACAATTATTTATTCAATTTTATTTATTTATTAATTTATTTTAATTTGATCAGGTGGGGGGAGGAGAAACCAAGCCACCAGATCCAGGACTCGAACCATAGTCAGCCATGTAGGAGTGTCCAGCGTCTTAACCATCATGCCACCTTCTGGTCCCTATTTTTTTGAATTTTTTAAAAATTATTTTGTTTTAGGGGCTGGCAGGTTAGGTGGTGACCACATGGCTGACCACAGTTCAAGTCCCTCACCTGGCAGCTTCCTCTCTCATTTTGTCTCTCGCTCTGTCCCTCTCTGGGGTCAAATTTAAAAAAATAAACAAAGTTAAAATAATTATTTAAAAAATTATTTTGTTTTATCATCATTATTATTTTTTAATTTGCTACAGGGTACATGCACTCACCAGAGAGACACAAACACACACACAGAGAAAGAGAGGGAGGGAGAAGAGGAAAGTGTTAAGGCAAGTCACCAGGTTCAGAACTCGAATTGCAGTCAGCCATGTGAGAATCCAGCACCTTAACCACCATGCCACCTCCTGGCCCCCCAAATGCCTATGTAAAACAGATTTTCGGAGGTGGTAGTTTAAGGCACTGGGCTCCCACATGACAAACTGTGATTTGAGTCCTAGACCTGGCAGCATGCTTTCTCACATCCCTTCTCTTTCTGTCTCTCTCCTGAAATTAAATAATAATAATAAATAAAATTAAATAATTATCTTAAATATTTTTTTTTCCTGGGGGGAATAGGTGGCATGGTGGTTGAGGTGTTAAGACTATCACAAGGCCATCACAGTTCAGGTCCCGGACCTGGCAGCTTGCTTTCTCACTTTCCCTTTTTTTCTCTCATTGGTGAATTAAATAATAACAAACAAAATTAACCATTTTAAATAAATAAATAAATAAGATTTTCTATATGATCCTCCTTAATGTACTGGCAAAGTATGTCATAAAACTTCAAGGCTGTGCACCAGCCCGTGGCCTAGCAATGAATGTGGCCAACTGTGTGGTTCGAGTCCCAGACCTGGCAGCTTGTGAGACATATCAGGCATGTGTGCAAGCATGCCTAAAATCCCAAAAGGAGAAACAAAGAAGGGATTACAGCATGACCATTTCCCATGGGGTTAAGGGGATGCTTTCTCATTTTCTCTGTCTCTCACTGATCAGTGCACACATCTTGCAATTTAAAAAAAAAAAAGCTTAAAGGCTGAAGTAACTATTTTTTTAATTTATTTATTTTATTTATTCATTCATTTATTATTTTTTTAATTTGACCAGAGAGAGACAGAGGTTGAGAGTGAGAGAGAGAGAAAGTGAGAAAGCAAGCCACCAGATTCAGGACTCAAACCCTGGTCGGCCATGTGGGAGTGTCCACCATCTTAACCACCACGCCACCTGCTGGTCCCAAGGCTGAAGTAAC